CTAAAAACATTTTGTTATTCCTGCATGGTTGGTTTCTGTGATTAGGCTGCTCAAACTGCCGTGTCTGCCCCTGCCTATGTTCCACCTGCCTTTGTTTTCCACTGGACCCCTACCCTGCCTGCCTGCGTGTCAAGCTAAGTCCTTTCAAATCCATCTGCCTCCTCTGATTCTCCGGCCCCCTCCTGCTCCAGGGACCCAGACCTGTGACCTTCCAGTAGGTATTGGGATCCCATCTTTCCTAAACTTCCGCTGCCATCCACAGGCTGATGGCTCCCACATCTGCATCCAAGCTGGACTCTTCCCTTGGGCTTTTGCCTCTGCAACCACCTTCCCCTGGGTGGCCCACAGGCACCTTGACAAAACCAAGCTCAGTATTTCCTCCTCCCCAAGTCTGCTCTTCCCTCTTCTCTTCCCCCACCAGTGATACCACCGCCTAAGGGAGTGAAAGAGGGAAGGCTTCTCTCCTTGGCTGGGAATGGAGGGATCTAAATTAGACCAGACTCTTTGATGCTGTAGAAAGGATACCTGTGTAACCCTGGCCAGGAAGCTCAGCTGGTTAGAGCATTGTCCCAGTACACTAAGGTTGCTGTTTGATCCCAGGTCAGGGCACTTACAAGAAGCAACCAATGAATGCATAAATAAGTGAAACAACAAAATTGATGTTTTTCTCTCTCTCTCTCTCTCAAATCATTATAAAAAAATCTTTAAGGGGTACCTGTGCAGGTGGGTAAGTGAGTAGGACATAGCAGGAGAGCTGGAATTTTGGAACAACTGAGGCTCTGGTTATCAAGTGAACACCTGTGATTCTGCAACTGGAGGTAAAGGATGTATGGGGTTGATGAGGTTGGAGGAGTTGGTGGCTAAATTGGGGACATGGGAGCTCTTTGCTCTGTACAGCTGACTGGGAGGTCAGAAGCCTGCACTCCAGCCCTTGCCCTGCAACTGGTTCTGTCCTGGGAACCTTTTTTTTCTGCCAAAGCCCATTTGGGATATTTATAACATCATTTGCGGACCATACAAAATTATCAACTTAAAAATTAGCCTGCTTAAAAAAAAATTAGCCTGCTATATTTGCTCACTCCTAATGCCTTGGTAAGAGCCAGACCGAATTATTTTTTGGGTCTTATATGGCCCATGGACCAGATGATCCCCACCCCTGTTAAAGGATCCCAGCAACTCTGCTGCAAGGTTTTATCAAATCTGAGTTTTTGGAAGAAAATGGGGTAAGTGGGGCTTGGGGAATGGCCTTAGGCTATTATTATTTTATTATTATTATTATTATTGTTACTAGAGGCCCAGTGCATGAATTCATGCATGGGTGGGGTCCAGCCAGCCTGCCCTGATTGGGGCCCATCATCCGGCAGGGGGGAGGGGCCGAGGGTGGTTGGTGGGCCGGCACTGGCCCCTGGTCAAACTCCCTGTCGAACTCACATCGAGGGGACAATTTGCATATTAGCCTTTTATTATATAGGATTATTATTATTATTATTTCTCCCCCACCCCCATGGAGGCCTGGCTGGTGACAATAATTAACTGCTGAGTGGCCTTCGCCCGATCCCGGGCTCCGCTCCTGGGCCACATTCCCACTGCCTGACTGACTGCCCGTCTCCTAGGCTACTAAACCCCAGCCATTCCTGAAGTAAGGCAAGGGCAAGGAACTGGAAAGCAGAGCAGACCCCTGAGCTGCACCGAGAGCCACTTCCACTCCCAGGTATGCCACTCCCCACCCATCACAGGTACTCCCAGCATGAGTTAAAGGATTTGCTAGACTGGGAGGGTCCACTTTGCCTAAAGTGCTAAGATTCTGGCAGTGGAGACGGAGGCCCAGAGCAGAGCAGGGCCTGCCCAAGGTTAAAGTACAAGTTAGTGTCCATCCCTGAACTAGAACCCTGAGCTCTTGCCTTTCAGCAGAGCACCGAGCTCTCAGTGCTTTAACTCTGGGGCCCTGGGGTGTGTGTGTGTGTGTGTGTGTGTGTGTGTGTGTGTGTGTGTGTGTGTGTTGAGAGTGATGGTTGTTGTTGGTGGGGTCACACCTGATCCAAGAGCTGAAGCTGAGCCTAGGAAAGTGAGGAGGGGTTTGTGGAGGGAAGGAGCAGGCTCGGAGAGGAAGAGGCAGGACTCTACATCAGTTGCCCCCATGAGAGCCTCAGCATAGAGAAGGCACAGGGACCCCAAGCTGAAGGAGCTCTGGTCCTGAGGATCCCAGAGTCAGTCTTGGGTGGTCCCAGACTTGGAGCACTTCTCTCAAACTGTGCCCAACTGATGCCTCAATCTGTGCTCAGCTGGCCATCATGTGTTGGGGGTCTCCCCCCCCATAGCGCCCCCTCCCCAGACGTGTAATCCTCAGATGAGAAAACTAAGCCTCAAGATAATTTGAGTTATTTCCCCCTAAGATCAAGAAGGAGGTGAGTGTGAGGGCTGGGATTGTGGGCAGGCTGATCGGAAACCCTGAGCCCTAAATTGCTAGACTTTGTTTCCCCAAGGAGCCTGATCGGAAGAATCACCTGGCGGTCCCCAAGAGTACAGATTGGGTCCTGAATGAATGAATTAGCAAATGATAGAATGAATGAACACTGGAATAAATAGAGTAGCAGAATATGGTTGTGGAAGGGTATGGGGTGTGGACAAAACAGGCGGGTTCTATGGAAAGTAACTTCACAGAGTGACCTGATGAATTCCTAACTAGGCAGGTCATGGTGGGTTGGTCATGCCCCAGGCATATGTAACTTCTTTACTAAAGAGATTATCTTTGCCTTAAGCAAATCTGTTCCTTGTTTCTGTGTAACTAGATTAACACCCTCTGAAATGCCGTTTTCAGACCCCTCCTTCTAATAATACCTGACAATTCTTTCAGACCCCCCTTCTAAAGTTTGTAAGAAGTAATCTGATCCCCACCTTGCCTTCTTCCACCTTCATGTAATCTTTCTTACCTTCCCACCTTAATCATAAAAGACTTCGAATTTATTTTTCAAAGCATTTTTTTCATTCTGTTGAGATCTTGCTTCTAGGCATATCCTCTGACTCAAATGAACTCTTACAAAATTCTCAACAGGATGTTTCTTAGGTCGACAGAGGGAAGGAGGGGGGAGGAGGAGAAGGAGGAGAGCTAGGTGGGAATTCAGTTCCAGGTTTCCCAGAACCCTGCTGGGCAGAGTCAGCCTAGAGCAGGGGTGGGCAACCCCTGGCACGCGTGCCAAACATGGCACGCCAGTAACTTTTGCTGGCACGCGAAACCCTCTCTTATAATCTTCCATTTACAATTTTTTTCTTAATATCGACTTTTTTATTTTTCAGATAAATTCAGTGTAGGTGCATCTTAGATAAATAAATAATTTTACATAACAAGTTATCTTAAAGACCATAGACATGGATTGACGAGAGAGGGGAAGAGCAATTTCTATGCCTCTGCCTTAACTCTCCCTGCCTTCCTAGATCTGACCAGTGTTTTGGTTTCATCCACATACGATGTGAATCTTTGTTCTCAGTGATGAAAGTAGTAGCTCGTGCATATCTCTGAAGGTCACAAAATATAAACCTGATGTAAAATCTCTGTCATCAGTGATGCAGCAGCAAAAGTCCCACTGATAATATCAAACGGAGTCATAAAGTTTTCTGTCGGACTATCAGTGTACATGTATACATTAAAAAATACATGTATTTTTCATCATCATATACTGTGTTTTTGTCGCTCGAATGAATTTTATTATTTCTTCAAGGTTCTTCACATACATACACCTTAAGAGATATCAGGTAGGCGTAACATGTTCTCAAAAATTAGGGTTGGCACGCAGAAGAATTTTGAGTCAGAGATTTTGCTGGTTTTGGCACGCACTCACAAAAAGGTTGCCCACCCCTGGCCTAGAGGCTGCTCAGCTCAGGTCCTGTCCATGAGGCCCAGGCATGATACCCGAGTTCTACAGGAGATGGGTGTAATGTGGAGGCGAGGCAATTTGGTGAGCAGGGGGCACATAAGCTTTAGGAGCTGTGGGAAATGAGTGTTTTAGGAGGGCCAGGCATCTGCTGACCAGGAGGCTGAGGGAACAGTTACCTCCCAAAGCTCAGTGTCTGAGGCTAGAGGATTGAGGTGCCACAAAGGCTGAGTGGAGGCCACCTCTGTGGTTGGAGGCTCAGGAGCCTCCCCCAGGGACTGTCCAGCCGGCTGCCAATGCTCACCCACCAAGCCTCTGTACCCTGTGACCTCCCTCAGGCTACATGGGCTCTGGGAGAGGCCAAATGATAGGCTAGAAGGAGCTAGAACCAACCTTTTAAATAATATTATTATTATTTGAGAGAGAAAGAGAGAGAAACATTGATTTGTCATTCCAGTTATTTGTGCATTCATTGGTTGGTTCTTGTACGTGCCCTGACCGGAATGGAATCCGCAACCTTGGCATATGGAGACTATGCTTTAATTATCTGAGCTACCTGGCCAGGTGGAACCGAGGCTTTATTTAAAAAAACAACACATTGCCGAAACCGGTTTGGCTCAGTGGATAGAGCGTCGGCCTGTGGACTGAAGGGTCCCGGGTGTAAAAAAATCTGTCCTGAAAATTAATGTGAGGTTACTATAGTTTTTATTTATCCCACCGGTGTAACTATCTCACCAGAATGGAATCCGCAACCTTGGCATATGGAGACTATGCTCTAATTATCTGAGCTACCTGGCCAGGTGGAACCGAGGCTTTGTTTAAAAAAACAACACATAGGTCTACAGTGTATCTGGATCCCTAAAATGAAGATATTGTAAACTTTTACACAAAGTCATTTGGTGTAAAAAAATCTGTCCTGAAAATTAATGTGAGGTTACTATAGTTTTTATTTATCCCACCGGTGTAACTATCTCACCAGAGTGTGTGCCTGATTGCTGAGTGTATGTAAATCCTATTACCTGATTTTGTGTTACCTTTTATAAAATCCTAAAAAAGATTGTGAACAAAGGATTGGGGACCTATGGTAATCTCCTGGCTATTTCTGCATATTTCCCAAACCCCATCCCTTAGTGTATGTATCACTTGATCCTCATGACCACATGGAGAAGTCAGGGAGGCCCCACCCAGGACTGTCCCAGAAGGTGGCGTCTGGTCCCACCCCTCATTGAGGCTGGGAAGACTGAGGAGCGGCGGGAGGGTGTAAACTGCCCCAGGCTTCCTGGAGGCTCCACCTACTGGATCTGTTCATATACCTTGAGGCCCCACCTCCACTTTACTTGGTGTCACCAACTACAGCTCTTCCTTCAGGGACTGACATGGCTTGGACGTTGACAACACAGCTGTGGCTCCTTCTGGTGTGGGGGGCCGAAGTATGGGCAGCCGGGCCCAGGACTGAGCTTCTCAATATCTGCATGAATGCCAAGCACCACAAGGAAAAGCCAAGCCCGGAGGACAAGCTGCATGAGCAGGTGGACCGAGGTGGAGGAGGGGTGGTCTGTGGGGAGGAACTGACTCAGTTGAAAAAAAGCCGGAAATGAAAGGTTAAGCCCTCTCTATGCCTGAGGAGACAGATTTTCAGACCTAGACAGGCCTTGGTCTATAGTACCGGTTCTTTTCTTTTTTTTTTTTTTTTAAGATTTCAAGCTTCTATCATTAATATATTATTGATTTCAGAGAGGGAAGGAGAGGGACAGAGAGATAGAGACATCAGTGATGAGAGGGACTCGTTGATCGGCTGCCTTCTGCACGCCCCACACTGGAGATTGAGCCCGCAACCCGGGCATGTGCCCTGAGCAGGAATGGAACCGTGACCTCCTGGTTCACAGGTCGACGCTCAACCACTGAGCCACACCGGCCAGGCTCCCTGTGTGATTTTTGTCATCCGAATAAAAATCTAATCTCTGACCGGGTAGCACAGTTGGTTGGAGCATTGTCCCCATACTATGCCAAGGTTTGGAGTTCAATCCTCGGTCAGGGCACATACAAGAATTAACCAACTGAATGCGTAAGTAAGTGGAATAACAAATCTCTCTCTCTCTCTTTCCCTTTTAAAAAACAAAAAGACTAGAAATCTGAGAGATCTATTTTTTAAAAATCTAAAAAAACTAATTGGGCAGCTATTTGTTTAACATAAACTTTGTGCCTGTGTTGCCAATACATTGTCAACAGCTCAGCTTCTTAGGCTGTTGGGTTTCTGTCTTACACAAATCAGGAAGCAGGCCCAGAGAGGAGCCTGGGAAGTGACACTGGGGAGACCCCTCCCAGGGGTTGATTTTTGTTGTTGTTATTCCTCCCCTGAGGATATTTTCCCATTGATTTTTAGAAGGAGTGGAAGGGAGGGGGAGAGAGAGAGATAAAAACATCAATGATGAGAGAGAATCATCGATTAGCTGCCTCCTGCACGCTCCCCACTGGGGATTGAGCCCAAAACCTGGGCATGTGCCCTTGACCGGAATCGAACCTGGGACCTTTTAGTCCGCAGGTCGACGCTCTATCCACTGAGCCAAACCAGCTAGGGCCCAACCTAAACATTTTTTTTAAAAAAATCAATATGATGCCAACATTATAAAGAAAAAAAAAACAGCCCTGGCCAGTTTGGCTCAGTGGATAGAGCGTTGGCCTTCGGCCTGAAGGTCTCAGGTTCGATTCGGGTCAAGGAGCACATGCGTGGGTGGGAGAGCGGGGGGCGAGGGGGGGGAGGGGAAGAAGGAGGGGGTCGCAGATATGCTCTCGTCATTTATGATGTTGTATCGCGCGCACCCCCCCCCCGGGGCTCTGAAATCAATAAAAATATACTTAAAAAACAAAAACAAAACAAAAGGAAGTCACTTGTAATATGCATTCCAATATGTAAATGTCCATTTGGACCTCAATTCCAGTTGTGCTTGTGAGTGACTGAGCAACAACTGGCAGTGCAGACCGATCACAGGCAGTGGTATAACTTGGGTACTTCTAGGAGCACTGACATGAACTTTTTCAGCCTATATATATATACTTTAAGTGCACATTTTATTATTTTGTTTATACTAAATTCTAGGCCATAGGTTCCATTCATTCAATAAGAATGTATTGAGTACGGTCAAATCTTGTTTCTTGAACGTCTCCCATCTCGAACAATTCGGTTCTAGACCAAGTGAAAATGTGTCTCCGTTGTTGAACCAAACTTCTGTTTGGGACCTGACAACCCTTTCATGCTGATACCTCAGCTTAACAAAAAGCAGCTCTCAGGCAACAAACAAAGGAGAGGAGAATGCTTTTGTTGCTGGCGGAAATTGATGATTGGCACAATTTTAAAACATAAAAAGGCCATCAACAGTGCTAATGTTGCCCTAGCTGGCTTGGCTCAGGTAGGCGGGGACTGAAGGGTCCCAGCTTCAATTCCAGATCTAGGGCTGGGACCATGGTTGCAGGCTTGATCCCAGCCCTGGTTGGGGCACGTGTGGGAGGCAACCAATCAATGGGTCTCTCATTCTGTCTCTCTCCTTCCCTTCCACTCTCTCTAAAAACTAATGGGTGAGATCATGTGGTACTTATCTTTCACTGACTGGCTTATTTCTCTCCTCATCCTGTTCTTCATAGCGGAATATAAAGAACATTATAAAGTGATGAACCAAAATAGATACAGAGGCAAAGAAGCATCGAACAGACTGTCAAACTACAGTGGGAAGGCAGCGAAGGGTGGGGGGGGGGGTAAGAGATCAAACGAAGGACTTGTATGCATGCATATAAGCATAACCAATGGACAGAAGACACTGAGGGGGGGTGGGTAAGGAAGACCGGCGGGGGGTGGGGGGGTGGGGGGGGGGATCAATGGGGAAAAAAGGAGACATATGTACTACTATTTGTAATACTTTAAACAATGAAAAAAAAACTAATAGAAAAAATATCCTGGGGTGAGGATTAACAACAAAAAAATTAAATAAATAAAAAATAGTGCTGATGTTGCTAAGGGTATGAAAGAGGGGGTGGTTTGATAAATTTTAGAAAAGAAGTGTTTGTTTATAGATTAAGCAGTACATTAGACATGTACTGTATATAAGAAAGTTTAAAACGGAATCATTTGGGGGTCTGGAATGGATTAATTGAATTTACATTATTTCTAATGGGAAACAATGATTCGGTATTCTAACAATCGTTTCTCAAACAGCCTTCTGAATGAATTAAGTTGGAGAACCGAGGTTCCATTATATTTATTTAATTAGAACTATTCTGGGGTTAGAATTGATGTAACTTGCTTCCTCACCTCCTGGTCTTTGTTACCAAATCAACGAGGCTTACTTGGACCATTCTACAAAATTGCAATTTCCCATCCCTCTCCCCTGCTTTATTTTTTCCAAAGCATTTATCCTTGAGAAGTTTTTCTTGCTTTGTCCCCAGTTCCTAGGAAAGTGTTTGGTTAAGAGTAAGTATAAGCTCAATAAAGATTTGAATGAATTTTGTAATGACTACATCTCCCCAAGAGAGGGCCCCCCAACAGCAACTATTTCCCTGAAAGACCAGCTGCACTGGGAGACCAAGGGCTCAAATGGGAGAAGCTGCCTGTGAAGATATTCTGTGCTGGGCCTGGGACTTAGTCCTGTGTCTTCCCCACCCAGTGCAGTCCCTGGAAGAAGAACGCCTGCTGCTCTGTCAACACCAGCCAGGAAGCCCATAAGGATGTCTCCTACCTGTACAGATTCAACTGGGACCACTGCGGCCCGATGAAACCCGCCTGCAAGCGCCACTTCATCCAGGACACCTGCCTGTATGAGTGCTCCCCCAACCTGGGGCCCTGGATCCAGGAGGTATGACTTCCTCCCCATGCCTGCTTCCCAGACATCTCCTCGTCCTGCCTCTGCAGCTCGGGGGCTCTTTAGGGCTGAGCTATTGAGAATCCTGAGCCTGAGTCCTTTTCCCCTACTGACATCTCCCAGGTGAACCAGAGCTGGCGCAAAGAGCGGATCCTGGACGTGCCCCTGTGCAAAGAGGACTGTGAGAGCTGGTGGGAAGACTGCCGCACCTCCTACACCTGCAAGGCTAACTGGCACAAGGGCTGGAACTGGACCTCAGGTGAGAGCCAGGTGGGTGGGGCGAGAGGGGGAGAGTGGGGGTGTGAGATGGGTATATGAAGGGAGAGAGTTGTGAAGTTGGCAGAACCAGAGATAGTTCTGGGCCCAATGGCTAAAGGCCTCCCATCCTCCCACAGGGTCTAATAAGTGCCCGGTGAAGGCTGCCTGCCACCGCTTTGATTTCTACTTCCCCACGCCTGCTGCTCTGTGCAATGAAATCTGGAGTCACTCCTACAAAGTCAGCAACTACAGCCGAGGCAGTGGCCGCTGCATCCAGATGTGGTTTGACCCAGCACAGGGCAACCCCAACGAGGAGGTGGCCAGGTTCTACGCTGAGGCCATGAATGGAGCTGGGCTCTATGGGGCCTGGCCTCTCCTGCTTGGCCTGGCCCTAATGCTGCTCCTGCTGCTCAGCTGAGCTCCTTTTACCTTCTGATATCTGGTCGTTCCCACACAGTTAAGCCCCACGGCTCAGCTCCCATGGTGGGAGCTCTGTCCGACAGTTTGAATAAACTAGTTACCCCGCAGGTGTCTTGCAAATTATTTGGGTGTGAATGGAAATGTGACTTCTGCTTCCCTGTTTCCATTGACTGAGACTTGGTCAGTTCCCAGCTCTGACACTTGCTAGGAATTTGCCAGACACTTAAAACTATTCTTCTAATCAAGGACATATTCACAGCTTTCAATTTCATTTTTCACTGTAGAGTCAGGCCCAGGACTTTGTCATTTGAATTGGACCAAAGCCTTCCAGGGTTGACTGTCCTGAGCTCAGCTCTTCAGTAGAAGAGAGGGAAATGGGAGTGACCAGCATGTTCTGGATGCTGGCTGGGAAGAGGTGAAGGGGGCCAGCAAGAGCCATACCTCTCTACAGCTAATACCCTTAAAGCACTACCTGCCAGGCATTGTCCTAAATGCTTTATATTTATTCCCATAGGGTGTAGATACTGTCGTTTGTATATTACATATGTGAAAACAGGCCCATAAATTAAGGGACATGGTCAAAGCCATCCCCTGCATAAGAGCTGGGCTTGCACTCCAGGCAATCTGGCTGTTGAGAACACGCTCTTTCCCTTGTGAAGTGGGTAAATGTGTGCATCTTAAAGGGATACTGGGCCCACACCAGACCAGAGGAGCTGGGCCTGCGCTGCTCTGGCAGAGCTAGGACTGGATCCCAACCCTAGAACAGGTTCCAAACCAATGATTTGACAGATATGTAGGCAGTGATCTCACATTAAGTATAGTTTGTAGCAGTTGTAATAAGCTGGGTTATGTTACAGTACCATCCCTGAGATCTCAGTGGCTTAACACAACTAACATTTCTTGCTCAAGCTACAGTGATTAAAGTGGGTTGTCAGGGGGATACTGCGGGGCACTCAGCAAGGCAGGTTGATGGAGGCTCCATCTGGTCACACTTTTATGAGACAGGAATAGGGAACTTGGTGAAATCCACCCCGGCAATTAAAACTTCCACCCGTCACTTATATATATTTCAAAGAGGAAGGGAGAGGGAGAGAGAGAAGTATCAATGTTGAGAGAGAATCATTGATCAGCTGCCTCTTGCATACCCCCTACTGGGGACTGAGCTAGCAACCAGGGCATGTACCCTAATCAGGAATTAAACCATGACCCCTTGGATCATAGGTCAATAGTCAACCACGGAGCCACACCGGCTTGGCACCCACCTATCACTTATTTTGTTGGCCAGTTCAAGTTATGACCATGACTAACTTCAAGGAGGCCAGGGAAGTACAATCCTACATGTGCCTGGAAGGAGAGGGGGATTAGAATGTTTGTCAACAGACCTAATGACCACTACAAAGACTGTTACGCTATGGTCAGTATATTTCTGGCATGGTCATGGTTACAAATGTATTTTTTGGGCTTGGTTTTGGTAAGAAGGAGGAGGACCAACTTTAAATGAAAAGTGGTGCAATCTACTGGCTACCACCCTAAATAGTCTTGTGAAGACAGTCAATTAATGCTTCATATTCTCTACAGAATTTGTGACACTACAAATATGGCATGTTTATAGATGTAATAGAGGCCCAATGCACGAAATTCATGCAAGGGGCTCAGCCCTCGCAGCTGCAGCCTCTGCCTTGGCCCTCACAGTCCCGGCTTCACCCAGAAGGTCATCCAGAAGGACATCTGGAAGGTTGTTCCGCTGTCTGGTCTAATTAGCATATTATGCTTTTATTATTATAGATTAGAATTACTGAAATTTAAGATTAGAATCACCTCAATCCAACATACCTTATCAAAGGTCTACTGTGCTGATTATGAATCATTTATAAAATTGCTTGGCCTTAGCCATTTTGGCTCAGTGGATATAGCAGTGGCCTGTGGACTGAAGGGTCCTGGGTTAGATTCCAGTCAAGGACACATACTTCGGTTGCAGGCTCCTCCCTACCCTGGTCGGGACACGTGCAGGAGGCAATCAATGGATGTGTTTCTCCCACATCGATATTTCTTCTGTATTTTCCTCTCTCTTCCACTCTCTCTAAAAATCAATGGAAAAATGTTCTCAGATAAGGATTAAAAAATAAATAAAATAAAAGTACTTGTCTGAATCCTACTTCTGTAGCTATCATTTTCAAGTTCTTAGGAGTCATTGGCTTACAGAAAGTATTAATAATTTTTCATATCAAGATCTAGAGCAATGGTCCTGGCATAAGGATAGATACATAGATTAATGAAACAGAATCAGAGCCAGAAATAAATCTTGTATTTATAGTTAATTGATTTTTGACAAAGTTGCTAAGACAATTATTCAACAATGTACTGGGACAATTGAGTACCCACATGCAAAAAGATGAACTTAGACCTACAACTCATGTCATACACAAAATCAACTCAAGGAAAAAAAACGCAAAAATAACCTACAAAACAAAATCAACACAAAATGGATCATAGACTTAAGTGTAACAGCTAAAACAATAAATATCTTAGAAAACCATTTTCTAGATCCAGTGTTAGGCAAAGTTTTCTGAGATCAAAACTTCTACCATATTTTCCTAGTTATTTTTCAACCAAAAGCATAGTGTATAACTGAAAAAACTGATAAATAGGACATCATCAAAATTTAAAATTTTTCCACTTCAAAATATACTATTGAGTAATTTAAAGTATGTTTTTATTAATTTTTAGAGTTAGAAGAAGGGAGAGGAATAGAGAGAAATATCGATGAGAGAGAAACATTCATCGGTTGCCTCCTGCATGCCTCCTACTGGGTATCAAGCCCAAACACAGGCATGTACCCGGACGGGGAATAGAATTAGTGACCTCTTGGTTCATGGGTCAATGCTCAACCACTGAGTAATTTAAAAGACAACAGATTGGAGGAAATATTTGCCAAACACAAGTCTGATAAAGGATTTGTATCCATACTATGCAAAGAATGGCAACAATCTATACTAATAAAAGGGTAATATGTTAATTAGACTGGGAGACCTTCCAGATGTCCTTCCGGACAAAGCCATGGTTGTGGGGCTGGGGCAGAGGCTGTTAAGGGCGATCAGGCTGGCAGGGGAGGGCAGTTGGAGGCCATCAGGCCGGCGGGGGGCAAAGGGGCAGTTGGGGGCGAGCAGGCCAGCTAAGGGGGACAGTTGGGAATGAGCAGGCCGGCAGGGGGAGGCAGTTGGGTGCGATCAGGCTGGAAGGGGGGGCAGTTAGGGGCAATCAGACTGGCAGGCTGAGTGGTTAGGGGTGATCAGGCAGGCAGGCAGGTGAGCGGTTAGGAGCCAGCAGTCCCAGATAGTGAGAGGGATGTCCGATGCCGGTTTAGGCCCGATCCTGCAGCCGGACATCCCCTGAGAGGTCCCAGATTGGAGAGGGTGCATGCCAGGCTGAGGGACACCACCCCCTGCATGAATTTTGTGCACTGGGCCACAGTCCTATATAATAAAAGGCTAATATGTAAATCAACCAAACAGCTGAATGACTGGTTCCTATGACGTGCACTGACCACCAGGGGGCAGACACTCAATGCAGGAGCTGCCCCCTGGTGGTCAGTGCGCTCCCCCAGAAGCCGGGCTCACGGCTGGCAAGCCCAGCGGTGGTGGTGGGAGCCTCTCCTGCCTCCGTGGCAATCGGACATCCCCCGAGGGTTCCAGGACTGTGAGAGGGCACAGCTGGGCTGAGGGACCCCCACCCCACCCCGCCCCGAGAGTGCACGAATTTCGTGCACGGGGCCACTAGTTCAATAATAAAAACAAACAGCCCTGTCAATAATGGGCAAAAGAAATAAATGGACATTTCATCAAAGAAAGTACATGAGTGGCTAACAAGCACATGAAAAGATGCTCAACATCTTTTGGAAATGGAAATTAAAACCATAATAATACACCATTTCATCCCATTAGACTGACTACGATAAATAAGAGTGCCAATAACAAATGTTGGCAAGGATGTGGAGAAATTGGAATCCTCATACATTGCTGATGGGAATGTAAATGGTTCTGCCCTTTGGAAAACAGTGTCAGTTTCTCAAAAGTTAATTGTAAAAGTCTTATAACCCAGCAAATCAAGAGAAATGAGAATATATATATTACATAAAAACTTATATTTGAATGTTCATAACAGCATATTCATGAAAGCCCCAAACTGAAAATAACCTAAATGTCCATCAACTTGTGAATGGATAGACAAAATGTGTTGTATCTATAGAATGGAATACTTTTTAGCAAGAAAAGCTAATGAACTACTGACACATGCTGTCATGGATGAACTTCAAAAACATTATGCCAAGTGAAAGTCCATTTGTATGAAAAGTCCAGAAAAGGCAAATTTATAGAGACAGAAAGTAGATTAGTGATTGCCTGGGATTGGATTTGGGAACAGGGATTAACTATAAATGTATATGAGAAGGAATGAAAATGTTCTAAATGTTACGGGGTTGGGGGGAGGTTGAGGAAGGTATAGGGTGATGGAAGGAGACTTGACTTGGGGTGGTGAACACAATACAGTGTACAGATGATGTGTTGTGGAATTGTGCACCTGAAACTTGTATAATTTCGTTAACCAGTGTCACCCCAATAAATTCAATAAAAATTAAAAGTAAAAAAAACAAAAAACAAAAAAACTCTTTTACAGTAAGGTTGCACCACTTGGCAAAATCATTGTAAACTTTAAATAAGTAAATTCTATGACATGTGAAATGAATGAATAAATAAATGATTGCCTATAGGGTATTTTCTCTTGCATGGTAGCATATGATTCTGATTTCTGTGGGTTGCACCCTTGAGGGCTGTATTCTAAGGAATTTATCATCTGGCTCCACACAGTCTATTATCTGAGACAATTTTTTTGAATCCTCATCTGAGTTTATGTTTATTGATTTTAGAGAGAGGAAGGGAGAGAGAGAGAAACATTGATGTGAGAGAAACATCAGTTGCCTCCCATATGTTCCCTGACCAGGATTGAACCCACAACCTAGGTATGTGCCCTGACCAGAATCTAACCGGCAACCTTTTGTGCAGGGGACTACACTCCAACCAACTGAGCCACCTGGCTAGGGCTGAGGCAATTCTATTTGATTATGAACTTTGAGGCATTGGTTGGATCGATATCGCAATCAAGGAGGGAGTCTGTTCTTGGTGTAGATCAGTGGTTCTCAACCTTCCTAATGCCGCGACCCTTTAATACAGTTCTTCATGTTGTGGTGACCCCCAATTTCATTGTTACAAATTGAACATAGTTAAAGCATAGTGATTAATCACAAAAACAATATGTAATTATATATGTGTTTTCCAATGGTCTTAGGCAACCCCTGTGAAAGGGTCCTTCGACCCCCAAAGGGGTCACGACCCACAGGTTGAGAACCTCTGGAAGTCAACAATACCAGTTGAGACATTTAAAAACGTAGCCCACTGACCAAAAAAATTTTTTAGAAGGAGTGTTTATCCCAGTTGGCATAGTGTGGTCTGCTAAATTGAGGGTTAGCGATCAGAGGCAGGGGAAAGAAAAGGGCTGCATCATATGACTAATTAAAAAAAGAACATGAAGCACATTACCAAAAATACCGACACAATAAGCACAATCATATCCTTTGTCAACTTCACTATTCCTTCTTACCTGTTTGTGGGTGAGCATTTCCCTCCAGAGAAATCTTTTGCTTTGGGGCTGGAATTTTTCTAGACAAGAACCAGGGCTCTGATAGGTTGAATTATTCAAGTGTTGGTTTATGGTGGTGATGTCAGACCCATGAGTCTATTTTCCCATCAGTCAATTATGGCAGGATCTGTAGGGAAACAAAAGGAGAGAATAGAAACCACTTGTTAAAAGGACCAAATGATCTGATCAACGTATTCATTTCCAACAGCAGAATGAAAGAGAGCAGAACAGAGCATGAACCTCCTGAGGAAGAGATTCATGAGGTCTCAGTTGATGGCTACTTTCAAGAGAACATATTCTAGAACCTGAGGAAGGAGAAGTAGACAAGGAGAGTTAGTTTTCTCAAACACTTTACCCAACTTATTTTTAAACATATATTTTTATTGATTTCAGAGACAAAGGGAGAGGGAGAGAGAGATAGGAACATCAATGCTGAGAATCACTGATCAGCTGCCTCCTACACACCCCCTACTGGGGATTGAGCCCACAACCCTGACTGGGAATCAAACCGTGATCTCCTGGTTCATAGGTCAATGCTCAACCACTGAGCCATGCCAGCTGGGCTACCTAACTTATTTTTGATAATTCCATTTAGCTCCTCTATTTGCCAGAGCTCTGTGGGTGATACATATTTGGAAATCTTGAGTGCCTTACAGTCTATTTTGTAAGATGTGCACCCAGATTCCTATCAATAATAAAAGGTGATTTTATTTTATATACTTTTTTTACTGATTTCAGAGAGGAAGGGAGAGGGAGAGAGAGAGATACAAACATCAATAATGAGAGAGAATCATTGATCAGCTGTCTCCTGCATGCTCCCTGCTGGGTATTAAGCCCACAACCCAGGCATGTGCCCTGACCAGGAATTGAACTGTGACCTCCTGGTTCATAGGTCAATGTTCAACCACTGAGCCACACTGGCCGGGCTAAAAGGTGATTTTAAATAAAGGCATCAAATCATCTTGAAAATAAACTTGTTGACAGTGATCATGCAAGCCCTTGCCTGTGAACATGAGTATGATTTTACCCATTTGAAAAAATCCACAATAACTGACCATTTGGTCAGAACCCTTTACCTTGTATAAAACTCATCTCAAAGAAATGAGCTCCTCCCTTTGCTGTCATCTTCCTCCACATTGTGGTCACTATGAACAGGGCAGCTCTTATAATACTGAGAAGCTAATTTTAAAAACGTGGAGCATACCAATTTTATTTAATTATGTTTAGCATTCCTCCTTGAATACTTTACTTATGAGTGCCATGCTGTTAGAGAGCAAGTTTTTGGTGTATTCTAGCAGCTGTCTGGGAAGTGCCAGGTGATTTCGGTGTAAAATACACCTTGATAAGTTTTATTGTCCTGAATGTAGGGCCTGATTTAGAGAAGACAACTGAAGGAAGTGTTGGCAGGAAATAGCCTGAGTCTTGGCTGTCTCATTAAGAAGAGAACTCTATCTTATAACATTGTCATTAAGAATTTTAACTTCTCTAGAAGTGAGGAAACATACTGTCTTGTATCATGACCTAAGAGCACGACATGCGTGAGCCAGCACAAAAGAAAATAAAAATTAATGTGTTTCCTGCAAAGTAAACGTTCACAGTCCGGTTGGGTAAGGACCTTAACACTGCTGTAAGGGAAAAACACAGGAAACAAAAAATAACTTATTTCTTCATGTTAAGTGCAGAATGCATACTCAAAGACCACTTCTTCGTAAGAGTGGCCAACATTTCTAAAAGCTTTATGCCTCTTAAAGTAAAAGTAACCTGAAGATGCACTCCTGAAATGGCAGAGGATGGCATCTGAAAATCCACTCCTCCCTGAAAGCAAGAACACTGGCAAGACGTCAAACTCAACTTTCCAAGAAGTCTGAAAATTAACCCAAACTTTCAAAATCTAAGGAGCACTTATTTAAGAAAAATGGCTGAATCTGAGTAGGAAACAGCAAGCTCTTGGCATTTTGACTTGCTTTTCCCCCATCCTCCTCTCCCAAACTCTGGTAGCCTTCAAAACCAGTTCTCTTTTTTCACAGTGAAAAAGTAACTGTGAAAAAGAGAAGCCTAGTAGCCACTAGAGGGGGCAGAGTGGGTGTGGAATTCCTCCAAAAGCCCTATCTCTAGAGAAATGTCACTGATTTGTCTGGCAGGACCTGGTAAGAGCCCCATTCATAGAGCTAGTCTTATTGACTGACTCAGAGCTCACACAGTGAGAAGCCCCATCCCTAGGTGTTTGTCCAAACAATCATCAGCAAACTGTTAGACATTCCAATTCCCTGAGGCAGGAAAACCAATTGAGACAAACCAGAAGCTGGCCAAAAAATTTAAAAGAAATATTAGGAAGGACATGTAGATAGAAGGCTTTGAAAAGCTCTGACATACCTGGGGGTCTAGAAATCCACACGTGTTTGCAAAACTGTATGTAAACCCAGGACACACATGAAAAGGCCCCAGTCTCTCAATTCTAATAACCTTAAGGCCTGGGTGAAGCAGGAAATGAGGGATAAGGAAGAGTAAACTTTCAGAGCTTTGAAGACTTGCCTGAAGCAACACACAGAATCCCTTGGCAAAGAGTGGGAGACATTTAAGGAAATCTCTGTCCACTCATTAGCTGACCACTAAGCTAAATGGCAGAAATGACAGTGACCACACATGACAAAGAAAACAGGCTCCACAGATTTAGTCCTTGAACGTCAATCAACAAACAAACAGGAACAAATATGAGCCTTGGGAGTATCTAATTTCCAAAGATGCCATATTATGTCATTGAAAATTACCAGTTTTTACACTGTTCCCCAACACGATATGACATGCAAAGAAATGGGAGAGTATGACCTATATAAGGAGAAAAAAAGCAGTCAACAGCTATTGTCCCTTATGTTGAACTTATTAGACAGTTTTTAAATCATCTATTATAAAAATGAACTAGAGGCAACTACGTCTAAAGGAGTCAGGAAAAATATAAAAATCATGTCTAACCAAAAGGAGACTATCAATAAAGAGATATAAATTTTTGTTGTTGTTGATAATCCTGTCCTGAGGACATTTTTTTCTATTGCATTTCAGAGAGAGTGGAAGGCAGGGAGGGAGAGAGGAAGAGAGGGAGGGAGAGAGAGAGAAACAGACAATGTGAGAAACACACATCGATTGGTTGCCTCCCACACGTGCCCCACCCACTACCAGGGGAGGGGAGTGAACCTGAAACCCAGGTACATTCACTTGATGGGGAATTGAACCCATGACCCTTTGGTGTGTGGGCTTACACTCTAACCACTGAGAAACACCAGCCAGGACGAGATATAAATTATTTTTTAAAAAATCAAATAGAAAACCTGGAGTATAATAATTAAACTTAAAAATTTACTAGAACTTCAACTTGATATTTTAAAAATCCTAATCATAATTAACAGTAAGAAACTGGGAGCTTTCCCACTAAGATCAGGTACAAGGCAAGGATTTTCCCTCTCCCACTCCCCTTCAACATTATACTAGAAGTTCCAAATAATGCAATAAAATAAGGAAAGGACATAAAAAATATACAGTTTGGGAAGGAAAAAATAAAATTATCTTTGTTCATAGGTGGCTTGTTCTTCTATGTAGAAAATGCAAAAAATTTGACAAAAAATTTCCTGGAAATAATAAGTGATTATAGCAAGATTGCAGGATACAGATTAATAAACAAAATTCAATTGCTGCCCTAGCTGGTTTGGCTCAGTGGATAGTGCGTGGACCTGTGGACTGGGGTGGGGGGTCCCAAGTTCAATTCCGGTCAAGGGCACATGCCCAGGTTTCGGACTCGATCCCCAGTGGGGAGCGTGCAGGAGGCAGCCAATCAATGATTCTCTCTCATCATTGATGTTTCTATCTCTCTCTCCCTCGTCCTTCCTCTCTGAAATTAATAAAAATATATTTTTTAAAAAGTCAATTGCCTTTCCATATACTAGCAACAAACAAGTGGAATTTGAAATAAAAAACACAAAAAACATAATTTACATTAGCATCCAGAAAAATGAAATATTTATGTATAAACCTAACCAAATATGTACAAGATCTATATAAAGAAAACTACAAAACTCTGATGAACAAAATACAAGGACTAAATAAATAGAGAGATAGTTCATGTTCATAAATAAGAAGATTCAATATTGTCATGATGCCAGTTATTCCCAATTTGATCTATAGATTCAAGTAATCTCATCAAAATTCCATTAAGTTATTTTGTAGATATTAACAGATTCTACAGTTTATATGGAGAAACAAAAGACTCAGAATAGCCAACACAATATTGAAAGAGAAAAACAAAGTTGGAGAACTGATATTACCTGACTTCAAGACTTACTATAAAGACAGTCATCATGAAATAAGCCAGTCAATGAAGGAAAAATACCACATGATCTCACTCATTCATGGATAATAGAGACCATTATAAACTTTTGAGCAATAATAGATACAGAGGCAGAGCTGCCTCAAACAGATTGTCAAACTGCAGCGGGAAGGCCGGGGAGGGTTGGGGGGCAGGAGGGAGGGGGGTAAGAGATCAACAGAAGGACTTGTATACATGCATATAAGCATAACCAATGGACATAAGACACTGGGGGGTAGGGGAGGCCAGGGGATTGTCAAGGGCGGGGGAAAAAAAAGGACACATATGTAATACCCTTTGTAATACTTTAAGCAATAATAAAAAAAAAAGACAGTCATCAAAATAGTGGGTATTGGCAAAGAATAAACAAATAGATTAACGGAACAGAATGGAGAGCCCAAAAGCAGACCCATATTGAAGAAAAGAAAACTACACCCCAATATCCATTTTAAATAAAGTCATAACTCTCCTCTACAAAATACTAGCGAACTGAATTTAGCAACATGTCAGAGATATTACACACCATAACCAAGTAGGAGTAACCTCGGGAATGCAAGTTGGTTTAACATCCAAAAGACAGTTGATTTAATAAAATACCATATGACTAGAATGAAGGGCAAAACCCACATGATCATCTCAATTGATGCAGAAATATCATTTGACAAAATATAAAGTCCTTTCATGATAAAAACAAAACAAAAACACACCAAAACAAACAATAAATAAGTTTGGAAAAAAAGGTAAATTTCCCAACCTTATAAAGAACATCTATG